TGGCATAGATTTTTCTGCATACTTCTCTTCTGCTGTTTCCTTTCCTATCACTTTCCTTGTCTGATTTCTTCTTACCTTTTCAATCCTATTCCTCTTCAGCACTCATTTCCTCCCTGTTCATCTTTGTCTGTCTCTATAGATCTTACAGCTCAGGTTTCTGTTCTTTTTCTTAATTGTAATCCCTTAGGCACTGCTCAGCCAGACCTCTTCTTTCAGCTCTTAATCCCAATATCTCTTCCTTACCAGTCTCAATTCCAAACTTTTCATAGTCGTTCTTTAACTTGTTCTTTTTCATCTGGTGTCTGGGACAATTTTCCTCTTCATTTGACAGACAGCATCTTTTTTTCTATGTCTGGATGTTGGATAACTGACATTCTGGAGTGGATGACCACCCTCTCAAATGTGCTCTTTCAGTCAGGTAACCCCTATTGCATTTTATGCCCAGATATATGAGGATTTTAGTACTGAAACACTAGTATTAAAAAAACCAACAACCAGCCAAGCAACTGAAGAAGGCTTTGTTCCTGTCAGTAGAATAAATGGAAGGGATCTGAGGAGATGTATGGCAAAGATTTGTTTTGGAAAAAAATCCTTTTGTAGAGACTCAGTTGTGTTAAAACCACACTGGAGAAGTCAAATCTCTTAATTTAAGTGTCTGAATATCTTAGAATTATCTCACAAGAACTTACTTGGTTCTTCACATTTCTAATATCAGCAAAAACCCCTCAGGAAAATGATGTTTTTATAACATTTCCAGTAGTGAGGATCCTTTATTTGCTACATTAAACATTTACAGCCCCATGTCTAATCTCCCCTTTCCCCTGAGGTATATGTCAGTGCTGGAATGAGTTTTCCTGGCGTTCACATCTACCTTAATGATCTGCCTTGAGGCTGTCTTATTTGGGATTTGAGTGGGTTAATCATGGTGTTTAGATCACAAATTGAATACTTTCATAACAATAAATGGGGAAGTTAATTGAATTTTACTTTTTCTTGATGTGTAGTATGCAGTGTTCAGATAATGTTCTTGGTACTGCTGAAGAGTTCACTAGCTTTAGGTATCCAACATAATGGGCCCTTAACAGAAGATTTCTTCTTTGTTTACATAAATTCCATAGCTAATTTCATGAGAGCTTAAGAAAGTGCTACTAATCTTGCAGTTATTAGAGCATTACGCTAGTCATACTGCTGCATCTACCTCACCCTCCTCCTGCTGACACTTGATTTCAGTCAGCACTGCTAGGAACAAAAATCTTTCCACAGTGCTGGTTCAGAATATGAAGCAACTGCCTGGCTGTCTCATCTCCTGCGGTTCTTACACTACTGCTTATCCATGCAGTATTAGAGTATGTATCCACAGCTCCCTGGACAAAGTTCTTTTCACCATTCAGAGAACACAAAGAAGCTGGGAGTTAGATGCAAGCAGACAGAAGAGCAGGCGCCTCAGGAGAAAAAAGTCTGTCTCCTAAATTTTGTGGCTTGGCCTGTGATCTAAGACTATCCCATGTTTGGCATATTCCTATACATGGATATGTCTATGTTGCCACAGGAGTGGATAGTCTGCGGGTGTCTAGGAAAGCTACTCTGCAGTGTTTATGCTCTTAATACATGCAAGACTGCAAAATTTTGTTTTCCACTCCTTTCACCTAACATGTCCAGTAATCACTGTGTCCCACAGCACTAGTTTTTGCTGCTCACATTCTTATCCACACAGAGCTATTGAAAAAAGACAGAAGTCCATTAATTCCCTAATGAAAATGTTTACAATGACATTGAGTGTCAGGCAGTGCATGCACATTAACCTTATGTCTTTACCTGATTCGTCATAACTTACCCCATTTGACACTTGGACTAGATGATCTTAGGTCTTTCCCAACCTTAATGGTTCTGTGATTCTGGCCCCACTGCACAGTGTTGCCCTATGTTTAGAACAAGCAACAGTCCTGCAGTTTAGATCTGTATGGGCTTGAAGGGTTTTCAAAAAGCTGCTATTTTGAGGCACTTTGAAAATCTTGGCTGTATAATGTGTTGTGCGTGCTTACTGTGGTTTATGATACAAATGAGGGCTGGAAACATTTCACTTGCTGGAAGGCAAATGACTTTCACAACAACAAAGAACAAACAACACAAACCCCCCCACTAATGTTTATCATGCAACATTTTAGCATATGAAGTAATTTTATTCAGTAATGACTTTAAAAGTTTTTTAATTGAACACAAACCATGTGGGATGGAACCATGTGGGACCTACCTCACACACCTTATCCCTTAGCTAGCCACTGACCCGTAACACCAGACGTTGTGCTGGTTCAGGATTTCCAGGCAGGAGAAGTCACACACCCCTTTTTAAGAGCAAATTATACATGTAATTGATGTACAAAATGCAGATAATTAATTATAACTGTGGGTTATAATCTTCATCTGTAATGATGCAGATAAGGCTCAGAAGTGTCACAGCTCAGCCATCTATTATTGCATACTAGTGTTTTCTTTACAGGTGATTTGGTGAATTTCTTTAGAATTCCCAGTGTTTATAAGGTCCTTCTGCTTAGGGCTATCAGCAGTGGTGGAGGTTAAGGATTGTCATTTTGTGTTAGTTCCACTATTTCAGTGGGTCAAAGCTCTGGACCCTGTTAAATTGAAGGAAGTTATTCAATACAAAAAGGACAAAATGTGTGGTGACAATTTATGAACCAATGTTGTATCTCCCTAGTGCTCTGAAACTGTTCGAGATATAGTCATGTCTGCTGCAATTCACTTTTTAGTGCTCTAAAAAATCTTAGCCCTTTCAATAAGGGCTGCAGAGGGATTTACTGAATTAAAACTAAATGGTCATTAAGTGCTCATTGCCAAGAGCATAAGGGTCTCCTGTCAGAGCAGGTTAAGCACCAGCAAACACAAAGTAAAGGGAATCAGTCTGTAACTCAGAGTGTCGGCATACATAAAGCAGACCTGACCATTGACCCTCATTCCACTTAGCTTGTCTCACAAGCTCTGTTGAGTAATGAAAAAACCCTAGAGGTTGCAGTGAGGAATGTTGTCTGCTGGGCTTTCTGAAAACAGGCAGGTGGATTGGGATCGCTGTCAGATGCATTATTTGATGAGTAGCATGGGCTTTGCTTCCCTCATCTTCCTTTTTAGCCCTTCTTTCTTTCCTTTTTTTTCTCCCTCCCTGCCATTCTCCCCCCCCCAACTTCTGGTTTTCTGAGACTCATATCTGCTCTCCCGTTTACATTGCTTTCCAAACATGATGCTGACAGAGCTGGTGATCTATCTTTGGAGCCCTTTGCTGGCTTCTGAGCTCCATTATGCCCTTCAGTCCTGTAGCTGCTTCCTGTCTTCTCCCTGAGACTACTCATTTCTCATTATGCTTCCAGCCTTGGTGAGCCACAGGAAAATGAGCCATGGAGGTGTTACCCATTATGTGTTATCACTAACCTGTCCCCTGATCAGAATGAAGAGCTTCCCAACAGATAAGCATCTCAGGGCCCCTCTTAGTCAACCCCCCTTGAGTGATAGGAGCACAGTTGTTCTTTCTGTTTGTCTCAGTATTGTCAATGACATTAAGTTACTTGTTATTATTCAGTTTAGTTTAATTGTTCAGTTACCAAAAAGCTCATTGTTTGTGAGCTGATATTCTTCTCTCCCTCTGGAATACCTCATATGACCATTTAAATCCATTTCTGCTTCCCTGCTTCTGGGGGCAACGTTTGACTAAAGACCCATGAGGGAGAAAAAAATAATTTTATGATTCAGTTTCAGACAATCATGTGCTTAAGAATTATTGTACTTGTTTCCTTTTTATTTAAAAGGATTTTAGTAGGCAGCTCTCTTGGTACCTTCCTAGCAGACTCACGTGTACATTTTCTCCCATCTTTACTCTTTTTTTTAAAAAAAAAGAAAACCTAGAGTCTGAAAGAATAGTTGTGGTAAACTAAGCTCCTCATTATCTAAAATGCTACCTTTGGCTGAGGAGACTTACTTGCTGTATTTTTGCAAGTTTTCTTTTTCTTTTTCCTTTTTTTTCTTTTTTCCATTTTTCCTTTTCTCCTTTTCTCCTTTTTTCCTTTTCCTTTCCCTTTCCCTTTCTTTCCCTCTAAGACATTGTGGACATGTGTGTAAGTTTTGTGTGCAAATGGAACAATGCCTCTTTTTATTTAAAAGCACGCTTACATCAAAATAACATGACACTAGTTTTCTCCTATGTCAGGCTGCGACCTCAGGGATACTCTTTAACTTTGGTTGTTTGCTTTTACTGTGGATGTAATTTTACTTTGGAGATAGATATAAAGTTGAAGCCGATAACCTCTGAATATGCTCTTTTTTCCTTAAATCCTATCATAAAATGTAGTGAATTAATATGCTCCAATTTATTATCATTATTTTTTTCTTCTGCTGAAGTAAAGGTTTCATTGTATAGTAATAAATAAATACCTCTTTAATCTTAAGTCAATAAACCAATAAGCTCAGGCTGGAAAGCAGAAGCAGCCCTATTCTTTGGTGTCAGAGTTCCAGGAGAGGTCTGCCAGAGAATTAAAAGCAAATCCCCAAAATACCGTTTAAAACAAAATCCTGGTGGAATGTAAAAGTAATTTAGAAAACAGATTTATTTTTTTAACCATCTAAGTCACGTGTCACTAGATTGCTTTAAATCATTTCTGTAGAATCTTAAGTGTTTTGAAAATGAAATACGCTGTGGTTCATTTCCTTGCAAAAAATAATTGGTGCTTACATCGGAGAAGGAAGTACACAATTTTACCAGATCACTTTTATGTATGAGATAGAAGGCAGCTGAATGTCAGAATCTGTGATAATTACAAATGGTTAAGACGAACGATGAATATTATGTTCCTGATTTTAAGTGACTGTTAAGATTTAGTATGCAGAGAGCTTTAGTGAAGACATTAAGAAAATAAATAACAAAACAAAATATTCTGCAAAACTTTTAAAATTCAACAGACCTCAATTAAAGACATTTTTCTGTGTTTTTCCTTTCCCAGCCATTCCCTTAGGAATTATAGTTGTACGAGGAGACTGTGACTTGGAGACCTGTCGTATGTATATTGACCGTCTACAAGAGGTAACGTTTTTGTGAATTAAGTATCATTTATTAATCTGTATTATGCTTCTCCCATTCCTGAGTGTATAGGTCTAATGATTGCAACAACTTCATATTGTGAGTATTGCGTACTGCCTCATGCTGAAAACAAAACTTTAGAGCTATGATATGCTATTAAAACCGAGAGTAACACAAAACATTATTTTCCCAAACAGGAAAAAAATAAATCATGCTGAAACCATTTAAACTGTAGCAGAATTGATGTGTATTGTTGTGTTTGCTTCTTCTTGAAACTGAATGGAATACATGCACTCTCTGCATTCACTGCTGCATTTATACCAATTTCTGAGCAAATTAGTGTCCACAAACTGTATTATGTAAGCATAAATATCATGATATTTCAATGGATCTAATTATGCAAATATTATTCTCTAACACAGTCATGGAGTAAACAGAGACTCCAACAAACACTACAAATACCAAACTGATATTTCAAAAAATACAAGAACATATGCTTATCAGCTAATACGAATGTAGCTATTATCTTCTTGAATGCTTTGTCTCTGGAAGGTACTCCCAGTACAACCTGGGAAACTGAGAATCCAAATGCCCCATTACCTGAATAATTTTAAATGTGTGTGCACTTAATGATAAAACTGGTGGATTTTCATTAATAGAGTGCCTCTCACTGTTTCATAAACTTGTACTGATATCTTTCAAAAACAAGTGTGGTGACTTTACGTGAGTTTCTGAATGGCTGTCCCAGTTGGCACAGGAGCTATGGACCTCATTCATCCCATTTCCATCTGAGAATGGAAGATTACAACACAGTAGTTGGGATGATGTTTGCAACACTGAGATGACCTCTTTGGCATGAGGTTGTCTTTAAACCTGGAAAAATACCAGGAGTTTTCTTTGGTGTATTAATTATTCAGAAATACTTACAAAAGACAATATGAAGGCCTTTAGCTTTTTTTTTTTCTTTCTTTCTTTTTGCTGCAGATATTCTAAATTTAAATAGTTTTCGTAGATCTGTGATATATAAATAGATCTGTGATATGGTAAATAGTCATTAACATAATCTCTGTATAAATTTTTAAAACTAGACTGTTTTTTACCAGATGCATGTAAATGCAAACTTTAAGAGAGCTTTCCTTGACTATTTTGTGGCATTTGTTTAATATTCTTAAAACCAATGAGAAATACTTGCAGAATTACTCTATGATGTTTAGCCAGCCACTTCAAATAGTAGAAGTGCAATAACTTCTGTTGATTTAATCTTTTCATCACTGGCCTATCTTTCATCCTATTAGGACCTACAGTCGGCAACTTCTACTACACAGAGAGTTCATTACCAGGTAAGATGAGCTTTCCATTTAGTAAATGAGAACAAAGACAAGTTTAACCATGTGGACTACACTGTTCGCATTTGAACGCAGATTTAGAGGAATTTTTGATTACCATTTGCCCTCAGATGATGAAGGCTCATTCTGATTTCCCTGAGATAATTTTTTTCCTTGCAAACCTTATGGAATCGTCCTTAAAATTGCCTCTTGAAGCAAATGAGAGAATGTGTCCATTAAAATAAGTGACAAAAGAAAAGATATTTCTCTGAGAGAAGGAACAGTAATTTTTTATATTGCATAGATGAAGTAGTAGTACCTACCACTGAGAAGAAAAGTGTACTAGCAAACCTAACCTATTAATAATTATGTGTACCGCAGCCATTTTCCTCTCAACTAACATAATCTTCAGAGTAAGTAGTTTTTCTAATCCATCCTGAACACAAATGTGCCCTTTATATGTGGCAAGACCATTCTCTTTTTAGATGGCTAGTTTTTAAAACTGGGCTCTTTGTGCATTTTGCAGCTATATTGTATAGTTTATACAATACAGAACTTGACTTTACAGTTGGAAGCATTCGAGAATATGTATTACTCTCAGTAAAATATTGTGCTACAAAATGATTACATTGGGAGTAAAATAATTCAGACTAAATCTACTGACTCCTGAGCTCATTTGGCATTAGCATGGAGACTTGACACAAACAATGGTCAATTGACAAAGTGCCTAGGACCACAAGACTCAAGTTGCATGGTGTTGATAGCCTTTTCCTAGATTTAACAGTGTAAGTCTTGTTAGGATCAGCAGGAATGAGTTCACTGAGAAAAAATGCAAGGATCCAGCTGATGGGAACCTACTGTAGTGAAACTGCAGATGATTTCTTGGGCCTTAGTGATTACCTGGGTGATACAGCATTCCAGTTTGGCAGGACTGCCTGTAATGTGCTGTATTCAGGAAGGCACTACAAGAAAATGCAAATTTGGCATGTTTTTTCTGAAGTTGCTTTCTTCATACCAGTACATGGTATGCTTCTGCATTTCTGTGTCCAATTTTAACCTCATAGTTTTGACATTTGTGTCAATCATTGCCCTAGGACTGAGTTTTAGAACAGCACTAGCGTCTAGTGAATTGGCTAATAAAACAGCTTGTGTTATTCTGTACCATTCCTTATAAATTAACCTAAGTGGCTGCTGAGTGCTCCATGTGTAGGAAACTGCCTGAGGTAAAATGAGGAACTAAATCTGTGCATATGGGGAGGGAATGAAATGTCAGAAACCAGCTTCATACTTGTCCCTAACCTCTGTAGTTATAGCAGCATAGAAATTAATAGCCTAGCCTTTTTCTTTAGTGCACATCAGTGTGAAATCCCTCACTTGCTATTAATTTTTTATGATGCTGTATTTTTAATGCCCCCCTCTAGTTTTGTCTTCAGTACTTGTTTGTCCTGGATTCTTCAAATGCTGCTTTATTCCTAGCGGATCATTTCTATGAACTGTCTTGCTAGGTTAATTTGTGGTTTGTTCCACATTTGTTAGCATCTGTCTATAAATTACCAAAGGGGGGAAAATGGGATAAAGAGTGTGAATAAGGTTCTTGAGCTGATGGAACTGTCTTATCTTGCTAATAAGGTGTCATGGGTACTTTTAGGTCTCATAAACACAATTTCTTGCGTGATGCTTCTGCAGCTCAAAACATGGGGAGTCAGCAGAAATAATATCAGAAAGCTTGGGTGTAAATGAGAAAAATGGTGTTAGACTTGTTCTTCATACTGCTTTCTTTCTCTAACAAGTTTAATGTATATGAAATATTATTCTCATGGGTCTGAGACCTCCCAAGCTAATTCTGCTGTTGAAATATAATGGGTTCTTGGAAAGAGCCTGTGCAATTTGTGACTTGATTTTGTATTTGCCAGCGTTATCCCTATTTTCCTTTTCCCAGCATTATGTACTCTGACAGGTCTAAGAACTTTCACTCACTTCTCCTCTTTGCATCATCTACCTTTTTATATGGATTCTTATATTTCAGTGCTTTCCTCCCTTTGTCCTTTGTATCCCAGATCTAACCTTTCCTAAGACAGTGGGCTAAATGTTAAGATGCATACAGCTCTGTGCATTTAGATAAATAGAAATTAGCAAATGTAGCAGATTTTAGAAAATCCTTGACTCTCCTACTACAATTATGATACAAGTAAACCTAAGCATCTCACAACTCCATAAACTCATGTTAGAGAAGGAAATAGGTACATTTCAAACCTGATAGTTTAACCACCAATATACATTTTTTATAACTATTCATAGAAATAGTTCATGTTCTGGAATGTTATACTGTCTTCATCTCTCCTGTATTGCACATAAATTGGAGACAAAATCTGTACAGCAGGACAAGGTTTATGGGATCAAGCAAAATCACTGAGTGTAAATATGGGAGGGAACTGAGATTTGATTTTTGTCAGACTGGCTACAGATGCAGGTATTATGGATCAGGAGATATTTTGTCTTTATAAAAGCAAAATATGTAAGTGGCTGCAGTAACATTTCAGACAAGATTCATTGCCAGCACTCCAAAATCTGAGGCACTGAGAAGATGACACGTGAGTTTCCCAGAGCTGTCTTTGCTTTTCTGTCCACTATAACTGGAAAGGAAAAGCAATAATAGGAAGTTCCATTCAATTGCAGTAGAAGCTAATAAGATGAATCGTGAAAAACTGTCATGATATCAAATAGGGTTGTTAAGATTTCACAGTGGCATCTTGCAAATCACTGAGATGTGTTCACATGGCTGTGCGAAAGGAATATCCAGCAGAACGTGAAGTGCTAATTGTCATCACAGCTGCTTGAAAATGACAGGTAGTGCACACAAGCACCCAGCTGACCAGGAATTTAGGGAACCAAAAACTTTTGTGTCTGTACAACAGCAGCATGACCTCATTTTTTTCTTAAAGAGCTGGAAAAAATGTTGGATATTGTTATGTTGATTGAAGAGTGAGGTCTGTCTCTTGACAGAGGAGGGCATTATTTGGTATTTAATCATTTTGGAAAGTATTTTATCCACCCAGATTGAAAGAGAACTTCCTCTGGCATTCTGTGAGATTTTCTCCCAGTAGAAAAAGCAACTTGCTTCTTCCTCACAGTCTTACTGACACATCTGGGCAGTCTAGGAAGTTGAACCAATGAAACATCCATTTTTCTGTGGATATATTCTTTATTTCTTTCTTAATTTTTTTTCTGACACATGGCTACGTGGATAAGAAATGTTTTAGAAATATGTCAGATTTGCAGAAGAGTAAGATAAATTGCTAAGAAATAACTGCCCCTTCTAGGTTTTCCTAATGAGATAGACAACAGAGAGTAAAGGCAGAAGAAAATATAGCAAACTTTAAAACTCTGAGAATCTGTATGAATGTTCCAGATGTGTTGGGTGTGCATGATGCACCATAAACTGTCATTTTAACTCTCTGCTGGTATTTCTGCACTTTCACTCTTCCTGTACACAAACCCTGGACGTGATGCCAACAGTCTGAGGGACTGGTGGGGTTTGTGTCACTTGGAGTCTGTCACTTGGGCTAGATGCCTTTCTAAAAGGTCTGCTGTAGTTCAGGCTGGAGCAATGACTTTGAAGCACAAGCTGGAGGACAGATTTCTGGATTATGCTCGACATTAACTGTTCATAGCCCTGTCATCCCTCCTGGTTGAAAACCCATGATTGACCGAAATCTCTTTTTGGAACTTAGTCTTTCAGTCAGTCTTTACTTTCTGATGGTAGATTCTCAAGCACCTACTCACCAGATAGAGCTGTACAATTCCCAGTGCAGGTTTTTTTTCATTTTTCTTTTTTTAAATCCTGCATCCTGCAGTCAGGAAAGGTGGTGGGCATCTGTATGATATTCAGACGAGTTCCAGTGAGATACTGTTGTATCAGTTTGTTTTCACCACTCTGTGCCCATGTTATGGATATATGTACATATGCTTTATCATATACTATGCTTCCTGTGCAGAGCAGTACTTTTCTCAACGGCACCTTTCTTCCCCATTGCTTCTGCTTTCTCATTTTCTCACCTTGTGCATTGATATAGCCTTCCATAGTCTGTTGTCTTAAGGAGAAGTAAATTTCAATCTTGAGCGACTATGTGCCTGCATTTACGTCATTTGCAGGTGTGCTGATTTTACTGCGTAAGTTATAATTAAGGACAGAATTTGGCTCTATGCACATTTTGGGTTGGTGCCCACAGGCTGTGCTGTTGTGCTTTGTCCTATGCAAATCTATTTGTGTTTAGGTGTTGTGTTCCAACAGCTTTAGGAATCTGGCTGGCCATCCACTGGCAGCATGGCTGAGATCCCTCTCGTCTCCAGATCAGTGAGAGCTGAGAAAACAAGGAACATCCTTTGTTCTTCCCCAGCCATTTGGTTCCTTGATGTAGTATCAACTGGGTCTCAAGAAGCAGGTCTATCTAGACAGAATGGGAACACATTGATGTGGAATGTCTGATGCCTTAGCCAGCAATGATCCCCAGGTCTGCACTCTGCATTGTCTATATGCTGGATGAAGACAAAAGCTTCTTATTTTTTATTTTTCTTTTTGTTTTTAAATCTGATGTATATTAGGGACATGCCAGGGACAGCAACATGGCCACTTGTTCTAAGTGGCAGACTGATGGAGGTGGGAAGGGCTGTAAAGCCCTCCTCTGGAAGAAGAGAAAGTGGTACATACACAAACACAGTAATTGAGTTCATTGCTTGTTTGTTTTTTATCTTCTCTTTCATCTCTCCCTATTTTTCTACCCCAACAAATAAAGATGACTTCAGACATCTGAGAAAGCTGCTTCTGATGCAGTGCTTTTTGATATTGCTGAGGTGAAGGAGAAAGGATAGCTGAGAGTGTGCTTCAAGTTTACTTCCAGAGAATAAATGTTTTTCTCTGCTATAACACAGTAAAAACCCGATGTCAGTGGGGAGCAGACCCAGTGGATTTAGGTTTTGCAGGTTTTGCATACTGTGCAATATAGAAAAAAAAAATATATATATATATGTATTTTTTTTTTTTAATGTTGCTTTTCTGTCCAATACAGGACCAAGAAAGCTCTTTCCCAAGAGTACTTTCTGTTCAGAGGCTCTCTCCTAGATGGTGCTTCCTAGATGGTAAGTGTGTCTCCCTCCCATTGTGTCTGGCATGCTGCTTGCTGCTGGTGTAGGTGTGAAGGACAGTGCATCCAAGAGTACCAAGAGGGAGGAGAAGCTGTTCCTTGCTGCGCTGAGAAGGTGAAAAGGGAGCTGTGTGGCCCCCTTTATCTTCTGAAAAATGGGCCTTCAACTAGCAGTCAAAATGCTCTCCATAGCATCGTCTCCCAAAGGAGATGAGTTCTTCCAAGGGTGGTTGGAGGTTTTGTTTTATTAGTGTCTCTGCTGTGATGCAGCACTTATGTGGCAGTACCTGGATTCAGAATACACCTGGTTGTAGTAGCACACTGCCGTCAGCAGAATTATGTTCTTTGTTTCTCTTTCTCCATAAATACTGCAGTATTTAGGTGATGGAAATGTACTCCCTTTCCCCTGTAAGGGGGCATTTCATGTAACTCTTGTTGCCAAAGCAAGCAGCTTATCTGGCTTTACATCAGGCTCCAGAGCACTAAAATGGGCAGCTAAAATGGATGATCAACTGCTTTTACAAAAGCTTCAGCATGGGGGGGAGTGATTTGGTTATTGTTCAAAACAAAACCAGTTTCTTCTTGATAGTTTCTAACCACTTCTCCTCGTCTCTCATGACAGAATTGATAGAAAATTGATAGAAAATACATTGAGGATTTGTTTGGTTTTTAGAGAAAGCTGGGTGGGCAGATGGATTCAGTTTTAGTCTTTACATGTTTGATATTCCTTTGCAGTGCCAAAAATGACAGTGCTATATCACTATGCTGTTCTGCAGAAATGCCAGAATGAAAAAAAGTCTGTGATTTCACTGGCTAAACTAAATGCAAAGCAGAAACAAAAATATCACATCTGATAAAGCGCATTGAAGGTGATAAAATAGTTCTGCTTTTAGCGATATAAATTATTTAGCAGTGCCAACATTCATATTAGGTACTTCGTTTAGTGATTCTTCCCTCCTTTAATGTTTTGTTCAAGGGTAGAATAAATTTTCTTTGAGCGTATCAGTAATTCAGATTGAATATTTGAGCATTTGTTTTACAAGGAATTCCCAAGCATATTATTGTTTTTTAGATTCACTGTTTGAATCTTTTAGATTCACTGTTTGAATCAATCATATTAGACCTATCAGTTTTATGATGTTCTTGCTATACTGTCATTGGAAGAATGCAGCTCTTTATGTCATGTGTTTTAATATTAGTAATTTTTCTTATATAAACCTGAGAGACCCTATTTGCCTGTGTTTTAAATAGTTATTTCAAGTTAATAGCTTCAATGAATATTGTTTTGACAAATACCGCCTTTAAATTCATTTTTCAGTAGTGTAGGAATATAGAAGTAATGAACGAATCAGATCATGTTGTGATTTCACTGACACAGAGGTTTTCTTACATGGTGCTGATGTTAGCTGAGCCCATCTCGTTCATATAGTTCTGCTTACACCACTTGCTTCATTTCTGCTTTTTTATTTATCTTCTTTGCAGCAACTTCTGCTGATCGTTTTTACCGCATTGACAGATCTCAGGTAAATCTCTGTTTGGTTACTGCTTCTGTAGATCTTTTTTAAAGCCATGCCAGATGCATCTTAAAATGAAGCCATTGCTCCTGTGTACTCTAGAATGCTGACGATGTCTTCTGAAAAGCAGAGAAAAAATTCTGGACCATTTTTCAGTAGACATAATTTGCATCATTTCACTGAGCTCACTGAAGTTTTGTATCTGCTAATCATGTGCTTTTCTTTTTAACTACCAACTTGATACACAAATCAGGATGTTCTACATTAATCATCCTTATCATATCTTAGTAAGGGTATCTGTGCTACATTAGTGTGCTTGATTTTTATCTTTTCATTGATATTTTTAGACACCAGAAGTCCTAGTCCTGTGTATGACATGAAATAACTGTAGAAATGAGTATGATTAAAGCCGAGAATTATAAACAAATATGTCAAATATTCCCAAGGAAACCCAAAACAACATGTTGTTTCATTAGATTCAAACCCATGGTGTAAGATCTGCCAATCTGAATATATTTTCTGAAAGACACTTTGAAAATTTTACAGAGCTTTTGATGTTTCCCAACTTATAGGCAGAATTGACCAATTAGTGGTTCAGCATGAAATGTAAACTGTTGATTCACCCATTTGTCATTTGCGTCTTGTTCCCCTGAGAACAATGTAAGCTGTTTTTGAATTAAATGAACATCTGCAGATTGTAGTTTATTTCAGTCGGAAGGAGCTGTGAATTTAGCTCAGAGGTCTCTGAGCCAAAGGCCTTCGCACACAGTCATATATATGCGTTGATGAAGTTGTACTTGAAAATTTTGAAAGCAAGGATGAAGAAGATGCTGCTACAGACTAAACTGAGCAATGCCATTTTCTTTTGTTTATTCTGCATTTTTCTAATTCTGGCTCTGCACAGTGTCATCTTTCCCTCCTACTCCTTTGCCATGTGTTTCCATGAGAAAAAAAATACTGCGTGATGGTTCCTGTGCACAAAATGTGGGAAAGTACCCTGCCCATCCTCCTACTTAGACAGACCTTCTCATACTCAGTATTTCTGAAGGGGACTTCTGTGCCAATAAAAAAAAAAAGAGGGATTGAAAAAGAGAGCTTTGTTAATGAGGATGCAAGTCCAGAATGTACAAGCAATTGAGTTTTTAGAGACTATCTCCAAACAATGAAAAATCCTATTATCTGAGGGCAGGACTTAGGTGTTGGTGCTCAGCTGGATGTGTAGGACTCAGTTTTTTGAGTAGGCCTCCAGTTTTCAGTAGAATGGTGTTGATGGACAAAAGTCACTGAGCAACAGCCTCGTAAGCATTGCTGTGTGAAGCTTGCTGGCTGGGAATCTTGTTTGGCTTAAAATCTAAGGAGTGCTTATTGCTAACTTGACTTGGTGTGTTTATGTATGCATTTAAATACACAGACAAGTGCCATAAATTCTTTTTAGTCTGATGTATTCCCAGATTTCCTATAGCCAGCTGGGCTTTCTGAGTGAACGCTGATGCCACAGGTTCATTATTTGTTCCTTATATCATTCCAACAGGAACATTTGCACTTTGTGACGGAAATTTCGCAGGACGAGATTTTTATTCTGGATCCAGAGCTGGTAATGTCACAGCAGGGGGGGACGCCACCTGGAATGCCTGATCTGGTAGTGGAGCAGGCCTCTGGGTGAGTGATGCTGGGATTTGGCCTTCAGCAGCCACAACAGAATTTGTCTTTTCTGATCCCTTCTGCTGAAAGGTTGGGAGATATCGGAAAGTGTTAGAATTGGGGGCAGAATCAGGTGCAGCAGTGATAATTACAGGCTTGGAAAGGACATCTAGTTAAGGTCATCTAGTTCCAGCTTCTCTACCATGGTTAGGGTTGCTACCCAGGGCCCCATTCAACTTGGCCTTGAGCACGTCCAGGGATGGGACCTCCACAGCTTCTGTGGGCAGCCTGTTCCAGTGCCTTACCACCCCCTGATAATGAAACATGTATCTATCAAGTTATAAACCTATTCTCTGCACTGTCAGGGCTCTGATAGAAATATTTAAGGCCCTGAAGTCCTTTGAGTCTTAGAATTACTGTGAAGTGTCTTTGTTTTTCCTTGTCCTCTAGGCAGACTAGAAATGCTCCTGTTCCTTTTCAGGAAGAGTCTTCTAATCATGGTGAAGTAAGCTAAGCTAGCTTGCAACAGGCTGAAAAATACTGGGAGTATACAAGCATAAAAAAGCTACAAAGCAGAGTATGTGAGATAATTTCTGAGTTTTAAAGCCTTTCTTCTCCTTCCCTTCCTAGAATATCAGATCGGTGGAACCCTGCTGTTAGAAAGAGGATGTTAAGCGACAGTGGCCTTGGCAAGATTTCCCCGCACTACGAGGTACCTGACAAACAAAAGGACGCCAGCCAGACCTATATGCTGCAGTAAGAGCCCTCTGCATTTCTCTGCTTGATGACATATTGTCACCATCACCATAGACAACTCCTACTGCCTTCTTTAGATTTAAAGTGTTGTGCTGACATGCTGAAACAACAGATATCCCTTCGTTTCTTCTCTTTTGTTCCTCACTTCTAATCATTTCTGTTTCTTTCTCCCTCTCCATTATTTATATGTTTTTGTCTTTGTTTTTCTGTCCAGATAAATGAGAGGGAAGGGACAGGTTAGGGACATGGTGGCTGTTTCTCTCCAGAATCTAGAGTTATGAGCTGATGCAGATTATTCATTATTCAGGTGGGCAAGCTCTGAAGTATGTTTAGAGACTGTCCCATTTGTGGCAAAGCTGATAGCTGTATAGTAAATTAGGCAGGGGACTGCAGTAGAGAGAAGAAGATATTATTACAGTTATGGCAGCTGAAAGCTGCTCTGGGAGGGCTAGCTTTTCTCCTCAGTTTCCTCCACAGAATTTCTGAATGATTCAGAATTTAAAACAAACTTCACATATGGTCAGTGACAACAGACTCCTCACTTCATGCTTGTCTGCACTGAGGTAGGCTGGATTTCTGGGAGGCGATTGCAAGAAGATGTTGAAAGAGAGTGAAGGGCTGGAAAGTGAGTAATATGCTTTCTATGTGCCTCAGATTGTATTACTAAAATTAATTGAAAGTTTGTGTCTTCCTTCATCTGACTCTCATTTTCCCACCTGCGGAATACAGATAATATTGCAGTCTTACCTTAGAGGAACACAGCGAGGGTAAATTTCATGGTCACAAAGAAGCTCAGATGTTATGGCAAAACTCTGTCGGAGATGCTTAGGAGAAAATTAATCACTTTACATTCTGTGCACAGTTTTGATAGTGGGGGATAAATGAACCTTGAGTTTGTGTACTGCATATAAAGAATAGGAAGGGATACTAAGTGGGTGTTTTTAAACATTGAAGAAAGAGTCCACTAGAAGAATGTAGTATGTATCAATATAATTAAAGGCTGTCATCATGTATGTGTGCTACAAAGCTGGAGCATGATGCTCAGATAACATGTGCTCTGGTATTTTCAAGCTTTTGAGTTCTTGATTTTCCAATTAAATGTGGTTTATAACCTGGTATTTTAAAGAAGGAACTTAGAGTACTTTTATATTTTTAGCAGCTGAGAGCGGTTCACAGGTTCTTTACAGAAGTTTGTCTCTTCAGAATTTTTTTCATTTAAAACTTGCTGAGAGATTTTAACATTCCCTAAAATAAAGTTTCCTAAAAAGGAATATGGTAGAGCACAAAGGGGACACCTCCTCACACTCAGGAGGTTCCCATGGATGTTTTGAGAGTCACCAGTGTTTCATATTTGTCTGAAATATTGTGTACCACATCTAAATCAAAGTGTGAGATCCTATATCCTGTCAGTAGGGCAAGTGGAGTAGGACTTGCTGTGATAGAATGTCTTTCAGTTGTTCAACTGAGGTTGGTCATTTCCCTTTCAAACATGAGTTGAAAGTTACCCTCCTCAGATATTGTGAGCAGATTAGGTTGTAGTTGGTCATAGTATAGATGCAGGCTATTCAGATTGTCTCTGACATTGCTGTATATGAGCTCCTTAAGATGGAGTAATGTGTTCTGAGAAGTGAGGAGTATAACTAAAAAGACAAAGTTTGCTAACAGACTTCAATTAATTAAAGAAGACAATATGTGCTCTGAAAATAATTATGGTTTGTGACATTGTTTCTGATCACAAACTTTTGGTGTAGAAAGTAATTTGACTGTAATGGTTTTGTGGAAGTAATCATTGGAGAGAAAACTATTTACGCTATTACTTTTAATCAGGTTCATGTTAATTAATTTTCAGGTGCCGTTTAACTAATAATCATATTTCATGTTTTGCTCTTCCTTCCCCTACCCTTTCCAAATACTCTTTGATGTGTGACTGACTGATAAGTGGACTGCAAAAACCATGAAAATCAGCATCTTGATGTAGTAGCCAGGAGCTGGGGCATGTCATATCTTAAAAGGAACATCAAATCAGTGTCAAAGGTGCATACAGCACCAGTGGGAGGACAGTTTCTTGTAATGCTGGTGCTTGATCTTGAAAACAGCCAAGTGTTCTGGACTGGCTCCACTGAAACATGTAATTGCTCTCTTCCTTTGAACATGAGTGGATTCATTGTTGATTTATCCTGTGATCTAATGGTGCAGTGAAGTAGGCATGACTATTGCCTCAGATCCTATTTCATGCATTCATTATTGGCCATTTCTTTTTCTAATTATGTGTTTGTCAACTTATTACATGATGAGAGAGAGAAAATAAACAAGCAACACAACTACATACAAAAATGAAAAAGTGACTGTTCCTTGTTAGATGTTTAATCTGTCTTTTGATTGAAATAACTCATTTTCCCATTGTTACATTGCTATATTCCCGTTGTTACAGCAGTAATAACCACTCTTCTAGTATCTGACAATTCAGCATGCATAAAGGTAATGTTATTCCAAAGCTGCTAGATGCATTGTATGAACTGAGTGCATAGCTTGTGAAGGGTGAATGAAGGTTGGCCAGAGTGCCATCTGGCCCTGTCAGAGAGAGAAAGAAAAAACACCTATAGGGGCTGGAAGCCCTTTACACTAAATAGACATTAATTAGCTAGCAATATCACCCAGGCACTGCTTTATGAGGCAATAATAACCTAGTTCATGAGAGGGAAGCAGAAAAAGGCTGACTGCCAAGTGTTTTAACTCAAGCACAAAAATCAGATAATTGCCCAGAAAATCAGTGCTATTGTACAGATGTTAGAAGATATTTGTTATTTTTTTAAAAAAGTGAAATCTTTGTGTGGTACAAGGGGAGAAGAACATCAGGGATCAAAGCTTGCATACAGAAAGGAAAAGGAATGCTCATGTAGTAGAAGTCAAGAAAATATTGAAGCATTTGAACATGTTGTGCAGGAGCTGCCTAGTGATTTTTGAACATTTGAAGTGAACATTTGAAGGCTGAAAAGCTGATGAAGGATTGAAAAAATCCAAGTGTTTCTCCAAAACTTTTGCACTGGAAAACTCAGTGCCAGCTCTTAAATAAGCAAAAAAGTCTATTTTGGTGTGTTTTGATAGTAAAATCTGGATTAGTTCAGATTTAGTTTACAAGCTTAAGCTATATAAGTAAAATACATGTTTTAACTGCCTATTTGTACAGCTGTATAAACGCCTTTTCCCAGACATTACATGAGTAGTGATTACTTTTGAGCAAGTCTTGTTTGTGAGACAGCATAGGTCATATCTTACTTTCACTGTGTGCTTGTATAGTCCTTAAAATAGGATTATTAACAAAAAGCAGTGTCAATTTGTGCTCAACACATTTTCTTTCCCTTATTTTGTCTTAAACACTTTTACAAATAGCTTGTAAGGCACCATTCTTGCTACCTTAAAATGGAGCATGAGAAAGACTTGCCTAAATTGGCTCTCCAGGTCTTGCAAGAAAATTGGTATTAAAAATGCTCTTAGTGAAGGGAAGGATAAGAACTCAAAGAAGAGAAAATATGATGTAAAGAGTATTGAAAATGTTTCAGGGACAGATAAATATGTGTTACATAAGAAAAGTACTTTGAAGAATGTGAAGAAAAAAAAGGAACTATAAGTATGTAGCAAGTGGATAAGGAATTGTTTTGATGAAAGCAAAGTTCCTCTCTGAGATTGAGTGGTAAAAACTGATGCACCTCAGTGAGAGACCTGGTCTTGTATTATGAAAGCTCTCACTACTGTCAATGTAATGCAGTCACAGTAGTTAAAATCTTGCTTATGTTCTAGATGGAAGCTAAAAATTATCTATCATTAGGAAGCCTTTTCTTCACTTGCTGCTGTAAACTTTCCCTTACTCTAATTTCTGGAGCACTTCTTGACAAAGAAGACACCTGTTAATTGTTTTATTCTCTTGGGCTCAGACATTGGGAATAGAGAATTTCATGTATTCAGAAATTGTTAAGAGCGTGAGGAAATCCTGGCATTTTGATCTGACATCTGAGGAGACAGAAACAGGACTAGGGAAATTGTCACCACATATCAACAGCAAGGTCCCCTTGGAGCCTTCTCCAGGCTGAACAAGCCCAGTTCCCTCAGTGTTTCTTCAAAGGAGAGATGCTCCAGCCCTCTGATCATCTTTGTGACCTCTGCAAACAGTCAAAATCAGATGACTCTGAAAAATGTTTTACATGAACTTTTAGCAATTTCTTCTTTTAAGTGATTGAATTCATAGAAGATCATTTAATTACCACTTCCCTCATTCATTAGCAGGATTTGATGTCACTGCTGCCAAAGTCCACTGCACTTATACAGAACTGGGATGTAGAAAAGTCATATTTGTTACTTATTAAAATTTCTGCAGCAGTCATTAGTATTTGGTACATACAGATCCTAGACACATTGTCTTGGCAACCCTTTTACCAGTAATACTGAGTCTTAAGACATTGTCTTTTGTTTTTGCCCTTGTTAAGAGTAATTAGGAAAAGAAGAAACTGGAATTTTGATTTGATTTGCCTGTGTAAAACCTTATTTTTGAATGTGAGTGCAGTGGAAATTGTGTTTATTTTCTTCCAGAAATAAGTCTCCAGCTTTTGCTGTTGAGAAGCTGAATTGCAAAGGGGTTTTAATAACAGCCAGCACATCTGAGGAAGCAGGTTTGTGTTTCTGCTCCTTCAGTATGTAATGGAAATAGAATAGTACATCCTATACTGCATCCTATACTACTTATAGTACCAAATGATTTTATTTTTCAAAATGTAAATCTCCAGAGTGGATTGGGTGGGAGTTTAGCTTTCTCTTTTCACACCCACCTGCCCCTAAGCACTCAGAATGAGGGCTCTTAATGACTTTTGTTGCATCTTAACACCTGATGCACAGCTGAAGGTATTCACTCTACTGACAAATTATTTTGGCAGACAGTGACATGCAAAACATTCCCACACACCGTGAGACTACAAATTGGCCTCTTTAGAGAGATCTTGCTTCTTGAC